CTTCATTAAAACTTTCTATGTTGTCCCATGCAATCGGGGGATATCACTACCAAGAAAGCCTATGTTTCAGTTAGGAGGGAAGTATTGTACAATGTTCTGATAGAATTTGGGATACCCATCAAACTAGTTAGGCTGATTAAAATGTGTCTAAACAAAACATATAGCAAAGTCCATATAGGTAAACATTTGTCTGATAAATTACCTATCCAGAATGGTCTAAAACAAGGAGATGCTTTATCACCACTCCTTTTCAACTTTGCATTAGAATGTCATTAGTAAGGTCCAGGGAAACCAGGTGGGACTGAAATTAAACGGGACACATCAGCTGTTGGCCTATGCTGATGATTTGATTCTACTGGGTGATATGTAGACACCATAAAGAGAAACACACAAAACTTTAATTGATGCAAGTGAAGAGGTTGGTCTAGAAGTAAACACTGAGAAAACTATGTATATGTTACTGTCTCGTAACCAAAATGCAGGGCAAAATCATGACATAAAGATAGGAAACAGATGTTTTGAAAATTTGGCACAATTCAGATATTTGGGAACAACAATAACAGATCGAAACCTGATTCAGGAGGAAATTAAAAGGAGATTGAACTCGGGTAATGCTTGCTACCACTAAGTCCAGAAGCTTTTGTCTTCTCGTCTGTTGTCCAAAAACATAAAAATTAGAATATACAAAACTATAATTTTTCCTGTGGTTCTGTATGGGTGTGAAACTTGTTTATGATAGTAAGGGAGGAACATAGACTGAGGGTGTTTGGAAACAGGGTGTTGAGCAGAATATTTGATCTGAAGAGAGATGAAGTGACAGGTTGGAGAAAACTGCATAATGAGGAGCTTCATAACTTGTACTCTTCTCCAAGTATAATTAGAATGATCAGGTCAAGGAGCATGAGGTGGGTAGGTCATGTAGCACAAATGGGGGAGACAAGGAATGCGTATAGGATATTGGTGGGAAAGCCAGAAGGAAAGAGACCACAGGGAAGACCAAGGCGTAGGTGGATGGACAATATTAGAATGGATCTTAAGAGAGAGAGGATGGGATGGTATGGATTGGATAGATCTTGCTCAGGATAGGGACCAGTGAAGGGCTCTTGTGAAAACGGTGTGAACCTTTGGGTTCCATAAAATGCTGGGAAATTCTTGAGTAGCTGCAGAATTGGCGGCTCCTCCACAAGGGCTCAGCTCCATTAGTAAGTAAGGAAGGCTGTCCCATACAATAATAATACATATGTACAGTACACTTCACTGCATTTACAATTATGCAGACAATGCGCATTATGGCTGCCAAAATTTTTCAAGTCTGATTGTACTACTTGATCTCAAGAGAACTTATTTCAGAACCTGTTTCAATTTACAGGGACTACTGCTTCTGGAAAATGACAAAAATGGAACAAATTCAAAAATTATTTTTGAGGGTTCATTCCCCCCAAATTGAATTAACCAAAAGGACACCATACATGTTCAAAAATGTTTCACATTATTTTGAGTATGCAGACCCCTATATTGCACATGAAAACACAGTAACTCTTTGGGAAAAATTTCAAAACATTTACAAATTTTTTGAAAATAATACTAGCACTCTGCAACAGTGCTGAAACCAACCTGTGTCCAATGTGCTTCCCCACATAGATCCACTTACACCACTAGTTCTGAACTGTACTTGAACATGCAACATTACTGGCAGTCTGCTAACAAAGAGTGCTTCCCAAAACTCAAAGGTCCTACTGGTACTGTACTGTTACATGTACACCCACTGACAGACTTGGTAAACGAGATCCCTTGAAAGGTTATGCAACAGTAGAAGAGGCTACGTTTTCTACGTAATCTGTGCCAAGCAACAGTAGAAAAGCAACGTTATGCAATCCATTTCTAAGCAACAGCACAATAAACAAGTCTACAATAACAGGTGTTTTCTGTGGTGTCTGTACAGAGTGCTTGGAAGAGAAGTGATTTCATGTTACACAAGGGCTAACACCGCAAGGGTTCAGTTGGGGAAAAAAATTCTGGTCGTGGGTCTCAAGGGGTTTGATGCCAAGACAAACTGATTGGCGGTAAACCACCAGTCATAGAGTAACTTTGACTTTCGACAGTTCAGGGCAGTTACAAGTGAATAATGGCAGAAGCACACGAACAAGCAAGGAGAGAGCAAATTGGAACTGAGTACAGAGGAGCACTAGAGGTCAGCCTGTGAAGACTTAATGTGCGATTTGAAGACTTTATTTATGTGTAATATTTGCAGTGTGTGATTCAGTGAGACTGGTTAAAGAGTTCCCATGTTATAAACCTCTGAGTACCAGTGCAGATAAAGTGAGAAGATCAGTGTGATCACAAATTAAACCAGCAATAATGTAATAGTTAATTGTAATTACAACCATTAAGTATCCAATAAATCTGATTACCAATCCAAACCCGCATTTTAGTCACTGTGGTATACATGACAGTACCATTTAGATTTCAACTGATTATCCAGTCAACATAATAGTACACTTATCAACATAATTCTTTAATATTTCAATTCTTGAACCAGTAAACCTATGCCATTTAAGGCATAGCACATATGTGAAAATGAATTATTGAAACCACACATTCAATTTCAGAGAAACAAATAATTCTAGGCTGCCACAGAAGTGGCTATGAAGGGTCCAATCTTCAGAAATACAATGCCATGTAAACCAGTAAAAAGTAAACAGGCTACACATAAATACAAATATGAAAAGAATGTAAAGTACTTCAATCACATGTGCAATTTGAAACAAATGTGTCATCATAATACGTTTTCCCTTCTTATTCCATTTAAGAAAAGCCCTCTTTGATCATTCTACCTACCCAGACACAATTTACTGCCCTACAAGTATTTCAAGCCTTTACCAACCAATTTATGCAATACCTCTGCAGTTGGAACATCTCTAACTGTTACTTTATTATATTCCAGAATCTTGTTGTTTCAAACAGCAGACTTCCTTTACTTAAAATTAACTGATGGCACACATAATTTATCAAACTAATAATGACACAGCTCAACTTATCATATTTAAGCAAATTCACGTAGTTTTAAAAAAACTCTCCTGCTGCTGACTTTCAACTAAGTATTAAATTCAATCTGTCCCTTCAGACAGTAGCTGCTGTATAATACAAACAGTAAAGCTCAAAAGCACTTTTCATTATAAACAAAATGCACTGAAAGGGAGAGACATACTCTATAGATTACTGTACCAGCAGACAACTGTAACAAGCTTGAATAATGTGGACCAGCCACTCCTAATATCACAATTATCTGCTGGTCTCCTACACATATCAACACACAACTAATTTTGAAAAAATGTTTTTCATTTTTTTTCACTCACATGTGTGGTGACATCACAGAGCAGCAGTGGGTAGGGACTACATGATGTGCGCTTACTGTTAGTCAATGTAAGTCCTTGCCTATGTGAGTGAGTGACAAGAGTTCTGCGTTTGTTGTAGAGAGAGAGAAATAGCAGCTGTGGCAGCACACGAGTGAGGGAATTACAATTAGCAAGTGACAAGAGGTCTGGTCTGAGTTCTCAGTACAAGACAGACATGGGAAGTTCATATTTGAAGAACAGTTAACTTGTGAACTGAAGACTTCGTGTGTGCTACAGTGCAGTGGGATTGGGAATGAGTAATTTAGCGAGACTTTTACAGTTGCTGCATTTTAGTTGTACCAGTAGAGGAGCAGTGCGTGTGTAAATCAGTGATAGAGCTGTACTTAAGTGTAATTAAGAGAGAGCATGTAACCAAAGTGCTAATAAATCCAATCATCTGAACTAGAACCGTTCATTTTCTTCACGCAAACATGCGACAATATCTTTCCTGCACAAGGAATGGAAGGTATTCACTCAGATTCAGTTTCAACTAGCAATTTGTCACACATGAACACAAGCACACATACACAATGGACGATATTCTCAAGCCCACTGCTGTCAACCATAACTCGGGAACAAAATCCACTTAAATTCTTACTTGCTGTGACACTAATATATACTAGCTGCATTAAAGCTACTTCATAAAAAACATTCCTTCCTCATATTTTCAGACTGAAAATCCAGGAATTATAGATGTACAATAGCGCTGACCTCTGAAGTCACACAGAGCTCCTTTACATTGCAATACATGACACCAGGATCCAAAAAATATCCAAAAGCCATTTGTTCATACAGACCCATAATCAATATCCCGCCAAATCCGCAAAAGTCTGGTCCATTTCATCAGCAATAGCTTTGTATTTCTCTTTCTCATTCATCAGTTCATCTGTAATAGAAGGAATAAAGCAAAGGGGAGACGTGTTAACCAACCAGAAGTTACGAAGTTTGGGAGGGGACTCTTGAAGAACACGTGAACCACCTTTTAAACATATAAACAAGCCTCACACAATGTAACTAACCGTTTTACATAATTAGGTTTCACATTCCGTCCTCTTTGCTATCATATGATGAAGTAACACTGCCATCATATACATTAAGAGTACTTGGCCAAGGCATATCCACAAGATATATAAGGATCACTTATGCAAACAAAAGTCTGCCACAAACACCAGATATTTTTGTCCTGAGGCATTTCACTGTGGATGAAACAGCTGGTAATATTTTTCTATTAACCCTCACACACACTTACTTTGTTAATATTCCTCCTTTTCTCTAGTTAAGAAAAGATATTTTCACAGACCTTAAAGATCACATGCAGCAGAACAGAATCTTAAGCTCCAACTATTTCCTCTGCCCTGAAAAATATGTACAGATCCATAATCCCAAGGATCATTTGAAATGGTAAACGGGAGGCATATTTTATACTGTAAATGAATTCATCAACTAGAGATATACAATACTTCAGCTTCATCTCAACTTGACTGAAACAGACCTGAAACAAAGCAAGAAATTCTGCACCAGACGTGACATCACTATTGTACTTTTATTCATCCACCAATAACGGTCAAGGGCTGCAACAGTGGTTCAATAAAAAGTAAAATCCAGTACTTCACATATCAATTTTCTTTCTTTAATATTTTATACATTGTTTTAATAAAAACCATAAATAATCCCAAATTAAGAAATAAGACAAATTAACATAAACATAGATCATAATTAACAGAGGAAAAATTATACCAACCAAATAAAACTTCTAATATAGTAAATAATATGTTTATTTAAATTTTTACAGTTCTTGTATTCTTGATGACCAAACTACAAGATGGGTCCACATAGTAATGTTATATAAATATGACTGAATTTTAAACACCATAATTACATTCCACCAATATTAGCACCTTCCAAGAAAAAGATGAAGTACGTTACTGCCTTAGATGAAGTTGATGTTTGCTATGTGAACCCAGGCATTCAACTGAACAAGACCCACGCCAGTTGTGGTTGTTTAGTTGCCAATAAGTTCGGTGAAAGTCATATCAAGATCGTCACAAATGTACTTGTACTTCTCCTTCTCGTGTACCAATTCATCTGTAAAAAGATTGACAACAAAACAAGAGTCGTGAGAGGAACGTGCTATTCTCATTGAAAAATAGACAGCATGAAGCAAACAAAAAAGAATCATGACCAGTCACACCAAGATTCATTTCAAGAACAGTGCTAACATATTTCCTTACATTTTTAACAGACAGTGCCCTTCCTTTAAACAATGGTAATTTAGAGCACAAAAATGAACCTTCAAAATGAACAACAGTGCAAGCTTGTGATCATTAAATTCCTTTTAAAATGAGCATGAAATGGAAAGAGACTGAAGAAACTTCATACATTCTAACAGTGGTAAAATTATTAAATATTATTAATGATAATTATTTTAGTAATACTGGACACTGTTTATTTTCACTCGTTTTTTCATCTCAACCCCACAACAAAACAAATCAAAGAAATTTTTATACACCAGGAAATACTGGTATAAGACTGAAATCATACTGTGTCCATACTTGGAATCAATACATGTCATTGTCTCAAAAGATACTCCCTTCATAACCTGTACAACTGATTAGTTATGATCCAATCACTGATCCCCCCCTCCACACATACAGAATATATCTGAGGACATTTCATGTCAGTTAAGAGGAGGATTATATAAGCAAGAGAACCAACTATTCTAATAATACAATAAACTAAGAAGCACTGATTTTACAATCTACAAAAGATTATGTTACAATATTATAACATCTTTTTATCAGTTTTTCAAACAAAAAATGCACAAAAATAAAGGATAATTAAATAAAAAATAAAAACTGTATCGGCATATTCTACAAACAGAATGTGTTAAAAATTTCTTTCCTTTGTCACAAACATTTCAGAAGCGCCAGGATTGGGTTTATAGCATTAATAACAAAGCAATCATTCAGGCAGGCATTTTGTGATGCAGTTGGCCATATATGTAGTAGAAATAATAGTAGTAGTAGTAGTAGTAGTAGTAGTAGTAGCAGTACAGTAGTGATGGCACGGCTGGTTGCCGATATTTAACACTGTAAGTTCGTTAATAGTGGTTGGTGTAGCAGATTATTTAGTAGCCATACAACTCTACGAAGGCAGAATCCAAATCGTCACCAATAATCTTGTATTTCTCCTTCTCAATGACCAGCTCATCTGGAAAGCGAAGATATCAGTAAGATTAAAGGGAATGTCAATATACAACTACTACTGCCATTGGGCAGCAACTTCCCCAAGTTTGATGTATCATTTGGATAGACATGATGGGAAAATGGAATGCACACTGACAATTAACAAAACACCATGCCAGATTACTTTGAAAATAAAATCTACAATTCTTTCATAGAACATAACAGCATTCAGGTGACCTTCACATATATGAGAATATTAAGAACATGTGATTTGTTCTAATAATTTATCACTCCACAAGGTAACTGAACGTAACTTAGTCTGCACATAAAAAATGCAAATGAAAGGCAAAAACATATTATATATAATTAAAAGCAGAGCACAACATGCAGAAATAAAAATTACAAGTAGTTACTATAGGATTCTGACGATGGTGTATAACACACTGATATATTGGGTTTTTGGACTTTATCCATCGTCCTGGTTTTTAAGATAACTAATAAAAACACGACGTTTCAGAAATGGGTGGAATGGGTGGTTTCTGTGTCTTGTCATTAATTTACTTCTCTAGAGTATAGGGTTCTTAGAACTGCAAATACGTATGACTGGATTACTGCTACGGCTGATTCTAAGATTAGTAGTAGGATTTGTGCGATAATTAGTATTCCTAGAAGGGATTGTGCGATTGTTGAGGTTATGAAGTGAAGAAGAGAAACGATAGGTTAATTACGAATACTGTAGTAGAACTGGGGTGATGGTTATGACTTATTCCAAAGTACCATGCATCTTCCTGTCAAGTTCATGCTTCTGTTCCTTCTCAACTACAGGCCAATGACAGCTTAGTACTGGCTGAATTATACCAGTTAATCCCAATATGTTCAAAATCACTAGAAGTGATTACTACAAGTAATTTACCAACATTAAAGGATGTGCTGCAAAAGCCATTGCTATAGAAGCACATGTTCTCTGTATCATTGAAACCAGCTGATATCAACACAAAGAAGCTCAAAATTAATTTTTAAAACTTGTCTTCGATGGTTAAGTATAAGTTTTCTCAACTCTTTTGGTGCATTTGATACACTAGTCTTTTGTACAAGACACACTGGTGACTGTCACCACAAATATTCTAGCTTAGCATCTTTTCAACAGCTACTTGATATTTTTTAATTAGTTTCATGTTTGTAAAGTGGCTCAGCAGTCCTTAACTTGAAAGTTTATGCATGCCTTTGTGGTCTAGTGGTCAGAGTTCCTGGCTACAGATCCAGAAGTCCGGGTTTGATTCCTGGCACTACCAGATTTTTTCTGAGAAGTAGTGGGTCTGGAACGGGGTCCACTCAGCCTCGTAATGATAACTGATTTCAAGGAACTATTTCAAGGAAATAGTTCCTCCGGTCTAGAAAACCGAAATTAACGGCTGTGGGGATTCATTGCACTAACCACACAACACCCTCTATCCGCAGAAGTTGGCACTATACTTCGGCGACAAGTGCCGGTCACTTGATCGGTAAAGTTCGCTTGTGGACTAAAATCATGGAGTTTGTTTTTTATTGTGCTCCAAAGATAACTATGGGAAGTATATAGCGAAATCTTCTCCAGCACATTCTAGCAGAACAACGCTTCACACATAATTAACACCAAAATACAGATTGTCAGAAAGTATACTCAACCATATTCACTAGAGATGTCCAGTACACAACATTACTGCAACCTTGTATATAAGGGGGCAAAACTAAGACTAAACTCCCACTCATGTTAGCAGGAATCTTTTCAACATTTACTGATACGACCAAGCTGAAGAAAGGACTAGTTGGCCAGTAGTTGGGAAGAGGGAAAGCATGTGAGTTTGCAGGAAAATGCACTGTACCCACCTGACAGCTGGGAAAACCCACAATGAAATGAAATGTCAGTCAGTATATTAATATACACACATCTAAAACATTCTGCAGTTTTAGAAACTTGCTAAATACAAAGAATGAGGCCTGCACCTGTGCTATACTGTGTTTACAAAATGAAACCCACAAATTAGTCATATAAATACCACCACCACCTATTAATTTATCTGTTGCCCATTCCAAAGCAGTATACCCCAAATTACACAATTCCTGATATAACTGATTTACATCTGCTCTTAGCGGCCTCCGTAGTCTAGAGGTAACATTCCCACCTCATGACTCGTAGTACGCGGGTTCAAATACCCGGCGGAGGTCGTCGAATTTTTAAGGGCGGAAAAATTCAGGGAACAAGTCCTCCGGGAGGGACTTTAAGCCGTGGGTCCCGTGTCGTAGCTTTACGGCACGTAAAAGAACCTCATATCTCCAAAGGAGGTCACTGAGCCAAATTAACGGACGTTTCCCNTAACTAACTAACTAACTAACCAACTAACTACATCTGTTCTTCATATACACACACCAATGAATTAAGAAATAAAAACTTCCTCATATTAATGTGATACTTAATCTGACTGAAACATTTCAAATGGCTGTCACAGCACTGTAGTAGCAGTATTGAAGAGAGTATGGCACACCTACCTTTTATTCACATATTCACTGCCATCTTATGTACAACTCACAACAAAAGTTTTAAAATTGAAATTTTAAAATTTTTAGTGAGAGCTGCAGTGAGAGAGGAGTGAATACATGAATAAAAAGTAAACATGGTGCAACAGGATGCTGCAACATTATGGTACACTAGTTTCAACTACCTTTTAGTGTTCAATACAATGCATACCAAAGTTAGAGAATGAAATAAAAAATAAAATTAAATAAAAATAAAATAATTACAAAAATGTTTGTGCTAACTGCAAATTACAAGCTACATAAAATAAGCAATTATACCTGTTTTAATAATACTAGTAATATGAAATAATTGGTTAACTGACACAAATAAGAACAAATTAAATATAATAACCAATAAATCATGCAGTTACCATGCACTAAAGGAGAGTTCTGGGAATGACTGACTTCTGAAACATTCATCAACCACAAACACTGCTTTTTAAAGAGTATCCCCCCCACCTGTCGAACAACTTTTTAGAAATGAACTTCAGTGTAGGAACTTACTCTCTGCAATGGATGTCCACAGTTTGTTTACATAGTGCAGATTATTTAATTCTATATCAAAGTTTTCAATCCAGTAAAATACCACAACAATGCACTTCATTATCTGAAAAATGTATGTGATGATAAAAAGACTGGATACATTAAAAAATGTGGAAATACGCATTAATTCTTGAAAAGTGCAACATGACTTACAAAATTCTGTATCTGAAAGTAACTAATACATTTTCAGATATTATTTTGGCATACCATGTACAAGCACTTCAAGACGATGTCTCTCTGTCCCGCTATATATTCCATCTCCCAAACAACCACTAGACAGATTTTTTTAACAGAACTCAGTATCACGATATTATTTTTTTTTAAAATGAGAACAAGTTCTTAAATGCCTGAGCTCTATGAAAACCTCAAAACATTGCCAACACAATCAGCCCTAACAATAAAATGGGCTCCTATAAAAACTAATTTGAATTTCAGTATAGTATGTGCCAAAAATGCAGTACTGAAACTCACGCATGTGTGTTTGTCAACGGGGAATAGCTCCAACCGCACGTATTCCAGTAGTAAAAAGGAAGTTGTGTTGTGCAGTTGTTGGAAATGGGTCTCTTGACAGAGGAAAAAGTATTCATAGTTCAGCATTATTTCTGCTCATACATAAGTGGTTGCCAGACAACTCGCTTCCTTGGTTTTGAGCTGCCAGATGTTATCATCCAGAAACCACTACATACTACACGAGTGATGCTATGGTGTGCCGTCTCAGCACACGGTATATTACGCCCTATTTCATTGAGGATGAGGAAGACAATGCTCTTACTGTCACCCAAGAACACTAACGGGACATGGTCATCAGACCATTTCTTCAGGATCTGAGAACGTTCTGTCATACAAGGGGCCTTCACATGAACAGACAGTGGTATCAGCAGGATCTCTTTTCATTTCAGTGCTGTATTTTTTGGCGCATACTGTATTATCTGCCACCTATTTCAGTTAGTATGAATGTTTCAGTGTATGGATGGATGTCTGGGCAAGAGGAATCAAGAATGCTTATCAAACCTGGGGTGTCTGAGCACGCAACACCACACTTCATCTATGCCACACTAAGGCAGGGAAGGTTACATGTTCTGTATGTCATGCAAGGTCGCCTCCATCTCTTCTTGCAGCAACTTATTCTTCTCTTTCTCAGCAACGAGGTCATCTGGAAATAATGTGGGTCAAATGCAATACACACACACATTCTAAACATACCAGAGTGTCAAATTCAATATAAGAGCACTTGCCTGTCCTAGTGAAATCACTTTATCTTTAAATTGTTGCAAGTAACTCCTACAAGGAAGCTCATCAACTGGCAAGAAACTTTGCATTTTTCTTATCATTTTAAGGTTACACTACTATGTTGGACAAATAACCACAATACTGGGCAACAAAACTGATTCCACTGAATTCATCATTTTAAACACAGTGAAAATGAAGTAGAGAATTTATTTTACACAAATCATTAATGCCTTTGACTATGCAAAGTGAACTCAACTAGATGAAACAGCAATTTGACTCTCTGAATTAAGATATATTAGCACAATCCTGAAATGTCAGTTATAAACAGAAACACAGAAAACTTTATTAACGTTATCATAAGGGTAAGTTAAAGTCAGAACAATTATGATGTAATTCACACAAAACTCCACACTTTACAGTTGCAGATCATAATTAAAGGCTGAAGAGTTAACTACACACACCACTAGAATGCATTTTATATGAAAGTAATTAAAATAAAAGTGTAAAATTCACAGAAACGCCTACTGAACCAAGCTTCAAACACAATATACATTACAAACAGTTTTTATTACAACTGTTAATTCTTTACACAAGGCAGGTAATGCTATTAGTGGAACACAAATAAACAACTGTTACATAATTCCTTGGTTCTTCTATCACAAATATGACAGGAGGGTGCTATAATCAACATGCACCCTGCACTCCAAATCCAGCTCCCTCTTGTATGTTAAACATACAAGATATACAGGCACTATACTTCTTGTCCTTATGCTGCCAAACATGTGTACCTACCAGTGAGCAGACAATTTTTAACAGAGTTAATTTTACTACTGCAAATGCAGATATCCATTTTCCAAGAGGTTTATTTTCTACACTATTTTCATCTGTATATTTCATTCAACCTTCTAATGGCTTACATATCTTGCAAGATTTCTAAGTTAAAAAAAAGTACTAAACCATTTCATTTTGCTAACTGAACATGGAAAGTTGCAAGGGTTGCAACAAAATTACAACAGAAAGGATGTTTTAATTTTCACTGAAGTATTTTGACTCCCAAGAATTCATGTAACATTAATGTAGTAACTAAATGTCACACTTGAATTAGTTCACAAACTTGTTGAATTTCATACTCAGCAACTCCACAGAAATGTCCTTTGAAACGTTTTTCCTATCCCCCCCCCCCCCACCTCCCCAATCATATCCCAAAGTTATGGAAGGAACCAGTCAGCGTCTGATCACACACACACATTACTTACAGTGTCCGTATGAATATATGCAATCGTCTGCTGGTTATGAAATCGACAACCTACGTATTTCAATAATCAATATTATTATTACTTACTGACTCATGGAGCTGAGCCCTTCTTGAGGAGCCACCAATTCTGCAGCTACTCAAGAATTTCCCAGCATTTTACGGAACCCAAACTTTCATCACCGTGGTCACAAGAGCCCTCCACTGGTCCCTATCCTGAGCCAGATCTATTCAATCCACACCATCCCAGCCTATCTCTCCAAGATCCATTCTAATATTGTCCACCCACCTACGCCTTGTTCTTCCCTGTGGTCTCTTTCCTTCTGGCTTTCCCACCAATATCCTATACGCATTCCTAGTCTCCCCCATTCATGCTACATGACCTGCCCAACTCATCCTCCTTGACTTGATCATTCTAATTATACTTGGAGAAGAGTACAAGTTATGAAGTTCCTCATTATGCAGTTTTCTCCAACCTCCTGTCACTTCATCTCTCTTTGGTCCAAATATTCTCCTCAACGCCCTGTTCTCAAACACCCTCAGTCCATGTTCCTCCCTTAATGTCAGAGACCAAGTTTCACACCCATACAGAACCACAGGCAAAATTATAGTTCTGTATATTCTAATTTTTATGTTTTTGGACAACAGACGAGAAGACAAAAGGTTCTGGACTGAATGGTAGCAAGCGTTACCTGAGTTCAATCGCCTCTTAATTTCCTCCTGAATCAGGTTTCTATCTGTTACCGTTGTTCCCAAATATTTGAACTGTGCCACATTTTCAAAGCATCTGTTTCCTATCTTTATGTCATGATTCTGCCCTGCATTTGGTGACGAGGCAGTAACACATAAATCAATATTCTACATAACCACATTACAAACATCATCATAAGCTTCACTAGCCATCTGCTGCCTATCCCACTGTAGTGGGGGCCATACATACGCTGAACAAGGTCATAAAAATGAAAAGTGCACACGCGTTATTTTTAACAATTTAGATCATGGCATGTAAACCAAATGCGTGTTTCTTTAATTTAGCAAACCTTGTATAATTTTGATGCTGTATTAAGTTTTAAAAGATCTATCCTAACTGTTTTCTACACAAACTTTAAATCATAATGAAACATCAAACATAAATTAAGATTTGAAGAAGAGACATTCTAACATTTTTAGAACTTGCAAGTTCAATGATAACTTTGAAAAATACAACCAATCTACATCTTATTCTTTCGGATTTCCAACTGTGAAAAGCTTAAATAATTAGCATTTATACATATTCATTTCCATATTAAAAGGAGCTATATTTACAATTACAGCTTTACATAAAAGTAAAAATTAAAAAAGTAAAATTGTTACACTCGACGGACTTTCTATTGACTTTGTAAAAATTAACCATTAGAAATTGCTACATGTTTTGACTGTACCTGGTCATCTTCAGGCAACTGTCTGAATTGTCAAAATGGTACACTGTATTTTCAATGTAATTACTTCTTAAGTTAAAAGTACTTCAATATTTTCCATATTTGTCATCCACAATATTAAAAATAAAGATTTAAGTATGAATGATGTAGACACTGCATATAATTTTATGATGTGAATATGTGCCTAGCATTTCCAAGCACAGAAACAAACCTACATCAAATGGACCTTACAAACTGGACATTTAATTGTAGGTGTTAACTGTAAAAAGTAAAGCCCATAGGGTTGTGAGACGTTGAGGGTCTTACACTATGTAGACAATCGGCTCAAAGATGGCAGTAAGGTTGTCAGCCTTACGCGCCGGCCGCTCTTTACTCCCCAGGAAAATTATTTAATTAATTCCTGGTACTCATTTCTGTTAGAGGCTGAGTAAACCCCAGGGCCTAGTGCGGCTGGAAGGATTAGGTCAACTGAAAAAAATCCAATGACCTTATCAGGATGTGAACCCACGACCTTTCAGCTTGTAGCATAGCCCCTCAACCAACTACTCTACCACGTGTCCCCCGATGTTAACTGTATTGTAATGTTATTCATTGTGTGTAGTATATGACCCTTATTGTTGTGTAGTTTTGTGCTGTGCTTTGTTTGAGCATGGAAGGTTATTCTGTGCACTGAGACCTACTGTATTACCACTGCCATGGGTAAAATCTCATTCACAGTCAAATAATAATAATAATAATAATAATAATAATGTATTTAAAATGAATAAGAAAGTCACTAGTACCAAGCAGACTTAATAACATTGTGTATTTCTTCAACCTTTATACCAAGTACGACAATGTAGCCAGAGACAACGCACACACCTAAAAATGTTTCCATGGATCCCCAACCAGGACTTCTACTGTTAAGTATACTGAAATATATTTAGAAAATGAACAAAACAGAACTGGGAAGAGACATTATTTGTAGATGTGCGGGGTATCACTTATACCCAAACGATTTATGGCATGTTCTAAAATATCAACCTCATCTTTCAATAAACACTAATTATGGACCAATTAATAATCTGATATATAAGTAAAAAAAAAAAAGTAAAAAGTATTTTGTATCTGTACCTAGGGTTTCAATTTACCAGCACAGATGATACAAAATGAACATATGGGACTTACCCTCAAGCCTGTCAACCTCCTTCTGCAACTTCTGCACTGATCTCTCAGCGAACTCAGCACGAGCCTCAGCCTGATGGAATAAGTATATTGTTAAAAATCCTCATTTCAAACTTTGATCTCTATCATTGAAAGAAACATAAAAATACAGAAACCTCCATTTCATAACATATTTCTGTTATGAATCTACACCCCCCCCCCAACTGTCAAAAACCATGCAATAATGAGTTTACTAAATTCCCTTTGTATAAAAAAGTACACAGATTTTGTAACTTGGAAATAAAAATCTGTCTCTTTTGTAACTAAATTCTGACTTTTGTACAATGATCAGAAATCAGTAACTGCATATTTAAGCACTGTACCTCAAAGAAAATAATGTATTTTAGTTCATCAAAGAAATGCAGATTTTGAAACCTGAATAAAACATTTAGTTTTACTGCTGAAGCTAAATAAAGTAGACATGCAAATACCTTAAATTATAACATTTCTATGAGCTAAATTTAAGTCATGCAATACAAACAACAAAGAAGTAAAATAATGTGATTTTTTAAATAAGCCAATCAGTAATAAAACAATACAAATGAAGTTTTTCGCGGACCATTCATTCTTCTGTCAATTCAATGACCACAGTGTTGATACAAAATCTCCAAATTTTAATAAATTACACTTCACCACCCTTAAACTGTTCTTAAAAACAAAACAGGAAATCTGTTTTGCATGGAACTTAATTCAGTCTTGTAGTCAACAAAAAAAACCTTTTCTCCTATGGAATCTATAAGAAATAATTCATGCACATTAATACTACTTATTCTTTCCAGTAACTACTTTTTAAGATTTTAAGAACATTCAACATATATAAAAATCGGGGGAGATCAATAATTTATACAAAATTTTGCAAGAATTTCTGACGACCAATATCCTAACCTATTACCAAATTCATCACATGTCCATTCACGACTGTATCTTCCACTTGGCTTCTTCCAAATCAGAATACATCACACAGTATTCTGAAAGCTTTAACTTCAGCATATTTCTGCAGTGGAATTAAATTTACAAACCCCGTCCTCATTAACATTACCAAAGCAGAGAACATGGTTAAGCATTTGTGCAAGATGGCAAAGAAAGAGGAAGAAGAACATCCACCAGAAGTTATGAACTGAAAATAATATCCATTCAAACAAAACCATGGGATCTTCATAAGCTGCTGTACTTCATTTTTCATACTCTGAATCATGTTTATTAAAGACTCAACCAAAGAACAAAATGTGTTTTAACCAGCACCCAATGAAAACTGTTTCTGCTGTAAACTGACTGGTGGTGTCTCCACAGCTGTTGTAGTATCCTGAACAAAACCCAGTGTATGAACATGCCTGCAAGCATGCAACACAAATGATCATCACATACTTACTTCTGATAGTTTATCGGTTATCAAATGAATTTTGTCCTCGCAATGTTCTTTGGTTGCAGTGGCCTGTTACATATTTTGGTTACCATGAAACAACACAATAAAAGTTTGATTTTAACATCACAATAACACGCATGCTAAAGGACAGTACTATGCCAGTTTAGGATGACAACTGCTATCATGGCACATGACTGCCTCAATATCTTATATGAGGCAGTGTTACCCTGCAAATTTATTAACTCATTCTTTGTCCTAATAAGTGTAGCAATTGGGCCACTCGGCCCCTCTCACTTATGCAAGGACAGATGTATTTGAAACATTTTTTATACTGAAAGGATTACAAGAATAACTTCTGTAATTTTGCATGATCAGAGCCAAACATAAAGAAAAGAAGTCTGGCATGTTTCCAGTATGGTTAAACCAATACAGGCAACACAACATGAGTAGAATTTGAGGCTGAAATGTGCCACAACACCAATTGCACACTGGGAGCACATTACAACAGCCAGTCAGTCAGGCAGGACGTGCACACTCAAAACTGTAAAACAAAAGTCAGACACGTTGAATAGATAGACCCAGAAGGACAGCAGCTTGGCTTATGTATTAAATGTGGACTGATGTTAGTTTCCAGTTACTAAGCAAACTGTAAAATACAAATCTCTCTCAGAGAACAGTAATAACTGATAAGTAAAACATACTCTACCCTAACATGAAAACACATGGCATAAAGAGAAAATTCCAACTAAGAATTAAATCCAAGTCGATGGTCGCTTTACCGTCTTACCTATCATGATCAACACACAATTAGTATTTATTTATTCACAGTTTATTTACTAAAGACACTGACAATAAACCAGACTATATGATGTTGAAATACTGGATAGTGATTAATGATTTGCAAAGTGGTAGGAAGAGGTCACAGCCTAATTTAAGGTACTATCTCAATGCCTGTACGGACAGGCTGAGGAAAAACACTAAAAAAACTTGTCAGGACAGTCAGTATCCTGGCTGAGATATGAAATGGACATTTCCAGAATACATGTTACTATCTGAGTGAACTTGCATGTTGGTTACCATGAGGCATCACACACATCAAAATAATGCATGCCCCCGAACAAGGGCCATAGTAATGCATCCTACGAATAAATAGCATCTGGAATTCAAAGTTCCTATGCCTCACACATTTTAATGTTTGTTACACTGCTTGTAGTAAGCACAAAAGAATGCAAGACATAACAGAGCACTTTATTACTAAAGTGGGCTACTCAAAACAAATACTGAACAATTCTGAATTAACAATAAATCACAAGAAATGGCAGCAACCAAGTACAGACAAAAAAAACTATAATATACTGCATGAATACATAAAATTAGAATCAAAACTTGTCAATCCACATTTAATATCATGAAGCATACAGAACCTAAAACAGTCTTCCAAAGATAAGAAATAACAAAAATGCTGGGAAACAGAAGAAAGCAGCGCTGGCAACTGGTGAATCACCCAGCAACAACGTATCCCCAACTGAAATTAAGTACCAACTAAACATATTCCAACTCTCCAAATTTCCTTTTACCTCTTTCAGTGATCCAGTAAGTGTTTTAACATGTTCTTCAAACGTTTCTTCCCGCTGGGTCGCCTAGACATTAGGTCATAACAGAACAAAACACAACATGATGTTAAATGCACAATCCACTACAAGTTAGGTCACACAACATGCACTGTAGGGAGAAGACGGTTATCAGGAAGAGAGGAAGGGGTTAACACAACATGGTACCTCCTTCAGCCTGGTAGTCAAGGTCTTAATCTGCTGCTTGTACTCTTCCTCACGCAGGTTGGCCTATGTCACAACAATACAAACAACTGTCAATACAAATCAGACTGTCAATGAACCAACCAGCCAGAATATTCAGCTCTAAAATTTCATAAGATCTACTGCAAAACTTCAGAAGTTTACTGAAAACATATACTGCCCCAAACATCCCGTGATCAGAAAATAAGGAACCTGAGAATGCGAAGTGGAGCTAATAAGGAAGTTCTTACAAAATACTTGGACAACTACATATGGTTTGTTTCAAGTCAAGACTGCCCAATGGGCCAGTTGGCTCTGTGCAACCCATGAGAGTATTCTTCCATTACCCCTCATACTCATATATGTAGACATGAATAGTCTCTTTATGAAAAAAATCTATGAACACTTACCAAATCTTCCATCCAATTTTTCACAATTTCATAACAGCTAACAAATTACTTAGCGAAGTCTGAAATTAGCCTGACTCCATGCTGATGTGCTATACAGAAACTATCCAGCAATTTTATAAAGGCTAATTTGTAAGCACAGTGGACCTGTTAACATTAATTTTGTGTATCCAAATTGCTATTCATGTGCTTGTGCTTCATAGATCTGATCACTGCAAGGCAGGTTACAACGTGGACTGCAGGTACCTAAGGTGCAATCTGGCCACTTGGAGGTTTGAAGCTGGGCAGCCATACTTTTAAGTATGAGAGAAGAGAAATATAATCACATCACTGGGGGCTGTGCTGAATGTCAAGACAGAAACAGGATGGTGTTCAAGAGACAACAGTAATAAGAAAAAATCTTATGCTAATTATGCCTCAGCAGCAATTTGCAGCTTGTACTGACTACAACATGACTGACACATCCTCAAATTATATGCAATGCAATAGTAGTGTATAACTAATAATTACTTTTAGAGACCATGATGCACTACATTCTTTAAACTGACTCTTAACATCTACACCATTAATTCAACTATACCCTTCAACATTCCCAAGAATATAACTCCTACAAAATATATCTTACAGAATTACTGGGTTTTTGGACTTTTTCCATTGTCTGGAATTCTATGGAACAGAAAACATGACGTTTCGGAAACTGGATCTGTTTCTGTCTTCATGTGAGGAAGGAAGACACCTACTCAGTTGGGTCCCTCAGAAAGAGCTAATCTCTGGTCCAGTGATTGAGATTAGCTCTTTCTAAGGGGCCCAACTGAGTAGGTGTCTTCCTTCCTCACATGAAGACAGAAACAGATCCAGTTTCTGAAATGTTGTGTTTTCTGTTTCCTAGAATTCCGGACAATGGAAAAAGTCCAAAACCCAGTAATTCTGTGTATTATCCACCATTGTCAGAAATCTTTAGAATCTAAAATATTTCTTGTCAATCACTATTATCGTATATATTTCATATTCTTTAAAGTTAATATTCACAAGCACTAGGTTTCAGATTTATGAATCCTATCAATAAATATTTGCCTGTGCCTTGCAAACACTCACACTCAACACAATTTTATTTCAAGATAGTGAATCTCTGAGAACAGTAGTGTGAAACTATTTCCTTTCATCACTAATCGCCATGCAACATAAAAACTGGAAGTCTTTCTAGACGAGCATAATGAACTTATAACCACCATCCTGCATACGCATTTAACAGCACCTCTGCTAAAGACATTTCACTATTTATAGAACCTTGAGGTTAAATTTCAATTAAGTTCTTCATTCTACATGCTTCTTAAAGTGGTATTATTACAAAACAATCCTTCACTTCCAACTTCATATGAAAGCTTTTTTTACTTTCAAATTTTGAACAAAGCTCACAATATAATAAATCAATTACATTTCACAGGAATGTCATTACAGAATGAAGAGAGCCTTTCCTGCAACTTAATTAGCAACTGCTTCTTCACAAAACAGGTAAAAAATTTTGAAGAAATGTATAAAAAATTTGACTGCATTGAACTTCAGTAGACTTCACATTATGTCCTAAAATACACAGCCACATAAAACAAGTTTGTGTGAAACTGATATTCAATAGCCATTCAATATAAAGCACATAACAGGAGAGGCTGTAAGTCACAGCTATCTGTATGCTTCAGCTTCCAATCACATGTGGTGTGTGCATGACATTTTTATAAGGAATTCACACATGGGTCATACTTATGTTCAGTTAAGACTGGGCAGTTCAAAGCAACTGTTCCTTTACATCCTACAACGAAATATGTATTTTGTTTTGTTTCATGAATAATTCCATGAAACATTACATAATTTACAATAGAATAATAACTGGTTCATGGTAAGTATATACGGGCTTCATTCAAGACATTTCCTCTCATGTCAGTACTTCATGAAATACATCCGGACAAGGGGGTCACTCAATTAAACAGTGGTTCAACGGCTTTAAACATGGCCGTATGTTGGCGGACAGTGAGCAGCATTCCGGGAGACGTCAATGCTGATGTCACTGAAAAAGTATGAACACTATCATGGAGGACCGTCGTTTTGCCATCTGTGAAGTTGCTGATGAGGCTGGGATCAGCAGAGGTTCCGCAAACACAATTTTAACTGAGGATTTGGGCATGCGAAGACTGGCAGAAAAATCTGTACCCAAGCTGCTTTCGCCAGAGCAGCAACAACTCCATCTTGAGGTTGCACAGGACATGCCGGAGTGCGCCAACAGGGTTCCTGAGTTCCTGAAGACTTTGATCACTGGTGACAAGTCGTGGGTGTACGGATATGACCCGGAAACCAAGGTCCAGGCGTCACAATGGAAGCATCCAACATCCCCGAGGCCCAAAAGAGCATGACGGTTTCGGAGCAATGTGAAGGTGATACTGACTGCGTTTTTTCAATTATCGGGGTGTTGTGCATCATGAGTACGCACCACTAGGCCAGACTGTCAATAAGGAGTACTACCAAGAAGTCCTCCGCCATCTTCGTGATGCAGTTTGGCGCAAGAAACCGGAGCTGTGGGACGCACGCAACTGGCAGCTGCATCATGACAACACCGCAGCTCATTCATCACACCTGATTCAGGGCTTCCTGGCCAAGCACGGCATTCCGCAGGTTCCCTACTCTCCTGGCATGGCTCCTTGTGATTTCTGGCTGTTCCCGAGATTGAAGACACTGCTAAAAGGCTGCCGTTTTGACAGCCACAAGGACATCATACAGAACGCTATGGCGCAACTGCACACCATTCCAAAAGGAGCCTTCCAGAATTGCTTCCAGTGATGGAAGGACCACTGGGCTAATTGTGTGGAGTCACAAGGGGCCTACTTTGAAGGCGATTAGGTATTGTAACCACCCAGATACAGAACTTTTTTTCCCGGCCCAAGGTCGGATACTTTTTGGACAGAGTAGTATACACGTTATAATGAATTTGACTTGTGGTCAATTTTGGGGAATGCATGAAGTTATAAGCCTGACATACAACTGTACTGTTTCAGACTGTTTCACATATTCATGCAAGCAAATTTTGCATCATAAAATTTCAGAAACTACTGAAGTTCAATATAACATCACATTCTTGTATTAGCTGCAGCCAAACCATCTCTCAGGAATGAATACAGACAATTCAACCTACACCTTCTAACTGAAATAATACAACTAACTAACTACGAGCTGTAAGGTAAGAGTAATAAACACCACAAAAGGCATACCTTTTCTTCAGACACTTCAAGAGACTTCAGGTTGTTGCCAACAACACGAAGCTCCTCTTCAAGCTCCACAATCTTACTGCAAGACAAATAAATACATTTTCAAGCCTTCAGTTCTCAATGAAGAAAAAACTATATTTACACAATAAAAGGTCTTTGCCATACTAAGTTGACAAAAGGTGTCCTAACATGGACCTCTCATGAACTGAAACCATGAATTTCAACCCCACATGAGGAGTGATATGTCTGCATTTTCCTTTGCAGGTAAAGGCCTTGCAATGAGTTGATTCCTTATCTAAATATCTAAAAAAAATCAGTTTTTGAAGCTAATTCTGAAGTTGAACAGAGAAGACAAGACAAATCCATCATAAAAGCAGAAAGTTAAATTTTCTAGGTCACTCTTCACAAAATAGAGACAGCAGAATGTTTTAGCAAAATACACCATAAATATGTTCTTTTTTTCAATTGAAAATGCTTGAAAACACCTCTCTTCTACTCCTACCCAAAAACAGATAACCTTTTTGAAACCCACAATTGGATTTAAAAATTTGTAACAATGGTATATTAATACAATTATTGTGTCCTGTTTTTATCTAAAACACAAGATTTCAGAGACTGGATTCTGTCTCCATCTTCAGGTGGAACCTACTCAGTTGGGTCTCACTGACAGATCTATTCCCTATCTCCAGCAGCACTCACAAAAGATAGGACACATAAATCAAGCCCAGCATAAACCATCTGCAGGAGTTAAGACAAACATTAAAAACATTAAAATATTTCATACATACGAGGCCTAGCACTCATGTCCATGCACTGTTTCAAGGCTGTTGTTGTTAAAACCAGAGTACAGTGGAACCTCGCTTAACGAGCATAATTCGTTCCAGAATCTTACTCGTAATGAAACAATTTTTCCCACAGAAATTAACGTAAAATATGATAATACATTCAATGCCCAAAAAAATCTCAAAAAATGTTATGTATAACGTTTATTCAAAGAAAATTATATATACATTGTTACAGAGCGTGAATCATCTTCATCTTTTCTTCTATGCGGAATGAACCAACCTGGAATGTGAATTCGATTTGCAGGAAAAAAAAACCGAAATAATTAGTTTATTATTTATGATACATGTAATTCTTTTTTTACTAGAAAGCTGTCTAGAGACATTTGTTTTTGCCGGCACTTCAAAATTTGGTGGAAATGCAACACGGCATTATCAGTAAATAAATTTGTAGCGTGCACAGCCACTGCCTTATTAGGGTGATGCTTTCAATGTATGATGCAATAGTTTCCTCCAAGCTTTCAGCATTTTTCTTATTGCGCCAGAAGATTGTTGCTTTGCTGTTACCTCCTCCTCCTCCTTCTTGAGGATAATGCAGATCGTTGATGTAGACCGATTGTATGTGCATGCTAGATCAGCCACGCTCACACCTCGTTCTCGCTTTTCAATGATTTTACGTTTCATTTCTACAGTTATTTTTATTCTGCTATGGCTGTCTTTTTGCGGCTTTTTTTCTAGGACATTTTTACAAGGGTTATTAAACTTTGAACAAAAAAAAATTACAAAATATGTCTGAACACAAGTTTGGAAAAATGTGTGATCACAAGCGACACTAAGATGCTAGTGGAACGAGTGTTAAACACAGACTGATGTAGCAAGCGCACAATCTGGGACTTCCCCTCTCGTCACTCGTTAAGCGAGTCATTTTTTTACAATTTGTTTTGCTCGTTGTGTGAATTACTCGTCATGAGAGGTGCTCGTTAAGCGAGGTTCCACTGTACATCACTAGAGAGACAAATCCTCTGTACTCGTATGGTACAAACATAAAAACACAATGTTCATATATAATCTGCACTGGAGAGATGAAGTGACAGGAGGTTGGAGAAAACTGCATAATGAGGAGCTTCATAACTTGTACTCTTCTCCAAGTATAATTAGAATGATCAAGTCAAGGAGTATGAGGTGGGCAGGTCATGTAGCATGAATGGGGGAGATGAGAAATGCGTATAGGATATTGGTGGGAAAGCCAGAAGGAAAGAGACCACAGGGAAGACCAAGGCGTAGGTGGGTGGACAATATTAGAATGGATCTAGGATGGGATGGTATGGATTGGATAGATCTGGCTCAGGATAGAGACCAGTGGAGGGCTCTTGTGAACACGGTGATGAACCTTCGGGTTCCATAAAATGCTGGGAAATTCTGGAGTAGCTGCAAAATTGGCGGCTCCTCCTGAAGGGCTCAGCTCCATGAGTAAGTAAGTAAATCTGCACTGGATGGATTTGTAGTTTTCTGACTTCTGCTGTGATAATGGCAGTCTAGATGGGAGAGATGTACAAGCTGGGCTGACCGATCAGCTGAACCAAACACCACCTAAAGGTAATAGAAGGAATATGCCCACGTCTCTGGTAGATTATTATATCAGTCAACCCAGCTTGGACAACTCCCCAACTGGACTCCCATTACCACAGCAGAAGTCCGAAAACCACAACTCTGTCCAGTGTACAGTATGCGTGAAAGTGTTTCTATGTTTGTACCATACAGAGAATTGTCTCTTAGTGTTGACTTCTATTCTGATAGCACTCTGATTTTAACAATGGCCTTGAAATGGTGCCTGGACATAGATGACAGGCTTCATATGTCTGTGTGTGTTTTAATATTTTTAATGTTTCTCTTAATTCTCATAAGATGGTTTATACTGTTCTTGGTTTATATATCCTATCTTGTCTTGGTACTGGTGTCCAGAGACAGCAACCAGCTGTCAATTGGGCCCAACCGACAGAATTCAGTCTCTGAAATTCCTTAACTATACATTCCATTGACCAATAAACAGCCAGTGAATTTACATGCAATTCCACAACATTCTATGCAGTGCATATTATACTGCAAAAATACCAAGGAAAACCAAATTATTACTTAAAATGCATGCTCAGTTACAAACTCCTGACTAATATGCAAATAAGGACTTGAACACAAATCTTCAATAGCAAGTTCATAAAATGTAACACATCACTGCAATTTCAGATACACGTTCCTTATTCAGCAATGTAACACAAGTTGTAACTTTACACTGAAATTTACATTAACTGAAGAACAAAACACTTTGTTTAAAAACAACTGGAAAATTTAAGTTCTGATGAAAACTCGTCTGTTTCTCTACATAAGATTAAAAAAAATTAAGTTTCCTTCAATTCACTGTTTTGTAATTTTTATTTGAAGGAGTGTTTCTGAAACGTTAATACCAATAACCCTTGTTCTTCACAAAAAAAAAAATTCATGGAAACTGCAATCAATCAAAACTGCATATATCGAAATTATATCAAACAGCAGTTTTCCTACACTATTTACTGGTGGGAAAATGCATACATAAATATTATGGAACTCGATTATTCTGGTACTCAAGACAAAAACTGAAAAATTCTGGGTTGGGAAAGCACCTTGTTGTTCTCTGGTTTCTTTCACACCTCTAGCCTAGCAGGTAATAAGCAACGACAATCTTTGGTAAATGGTAGGCCTATATAACATGTTCAGACTCCCCTGATACTGGGAAGGAAAGGAAAATTATCCCTGTAACAGGCCATGAAGGCCCATAGCGTTGTGAGACAGTGAGGGTCCCGCATTATCTAGACCACTGGCTCAAAGATGGCGGTAAGGTTGTCAGCCTTATGCGCCGGCCACGCTTTACTCCCCAGGAAAACTATTTAATTAATTCCTGATACTCAGTTCTGTTAGAGGCTGATACTGAGATCTGGTAATTATAATAACAAACCAAATCTGCAGCAAAGAGAAAACATAAATTTTAAGTCCTGTACATAACATGATAAAATGATTGCTTGAATTCAGAACAGGTTTCACATTTACAATTCTACTATAAACTAACTTCAGGAGGACTATCATACTGCTATGTGCAGAACACTGAGACCACTGGGTCAGATTACATAAAGTCAATTTCAAATGTGTCTTATGAAGACAGCAAGCTGGGATAGCTCAGTCAGTACAACAAAGGACCAGAGGCTGGACAGCCAGGTTCAATTCCTAGTAGGGGCATTACTTTTTTCTCTTCTCCACAACATCCAGACTGGTTCTGGGGCTCACCCAGCCTCCTATACAATGAGTACTGGGGACTCTTTCCCTGGGTGGTAAAATAGTTAGGACATGAAACCAACCGCTCCCCTCCGTCTAGTTTTGAAGTCACAATGACAGAGCTATTCCTCCATTCTCATATACGTATTCATGCAACGGTGCTTAATTACAGACAAGGACATCTTTACTTTTATTCTGATGATCTGGGTTCAAAATTGTAATATATTTTCATGTCACGATAAACATGCATCAAACACGTTTATTTACCTCTATATCACATAGCATCCAGTAACTTCACTGCAAATCAACATCAAGCTTAATATTACACATTCAAGCTCCAGCATGGCTTAGCAATAATGAATGAACTGTACAACCAACCATACCGCACAGATGTGGAATTTTACTCTTTACATGCTGACACCAAGATCAAGTGTCTAACTGGACACTTAGACTAAAGCCAAACGTTGAATGAATACTTTGACAGTGCTGACAAAATTTAAAAACTACAACTAAAACATATGCTTGGAACAGGGGTTGAAAACATCCTCATAAATGAACTGTAGTGTGGTCAACTTTAAAAATTATTTCTTAAAGTAATAACTTCAGAAACTGTACAGTTCCATGTAACACACTGAAGTCTGGGAAATAGCAACTACAAAACCATAACCACAAATTTACGTTCTGCAAACACCATGCGGTTGGAGGCAGCATGTTCCTCTAAAATGCTGATGTCCATCTACCAGACTCCATAACGTAATAAGCCAGAATAGCAGAATAAGAACAACATACCTTACATTTTCCTGTGCACAAATAACTTATGACTTGGATCATGAGTGCAGTATACTCTCAGTTATCTGGGCTAATAGGACTTACAGGAAACAAACCTTCAACAGGAAACCTTCATCAAAGGTTACCTTATTATCCAATTCTAATGTTCAGTCACAGAAAGAGATCGTCATAGCTCAAAACAGTGTACTGTTTTAGGAGAGAGGCTGTTTTCACCTTCCATTCTGACTTTGTGCATCCCTCAAAAACAGACCACAATGTGAAAGACATGTAAATAACTAAAACAAAAACTCAGTTATTAAGATTAGATGAAACCGAATGAACCCTGCACCATTATCATTCAGTCTACTGTACTCATACATCCCCTTCCAAAAATTATCCCCTAGCAGTACCACAATTCATATGAAACACATTACGTCTTCATTAAATTCACTTTAGAAGCTGCTGATTGCACAACACGTGACTTTATAAACCTTCAATTAATGCTTTGACTGTCAAGCTCTGACACAGATCTGACTACCAGAAACAGCATCACTGCTTGGGAGTAAATGCAATTGCACAAAAAAAACCACAATACTTCATCAAATAACCTTCAAACAACCACAGGTTTAAGTCACATGAAAGTCTTTCTTTCCACTTAACATCAATGCATCAGCCTTGATGTCAATCTGCTAACACAAATGCTACGCTGATTAACAAGCCAAGCTCCTCAGCTGTAGCAGTTTTACAGCAAGAAAACGTGCACAGGTGTCCCCAAATCAAATAATCTGTGTTCAGATAACTGAGGGTATGCTGTACTCACTCAAAGAAAGATACTAAATTACTGAACTACTACACCCACTGCGACACTGATGCCAAAATGCGAACCGCATCTCACCTGTCACTCTGTTCTGCACGTTCCTCAGCTCGCTCCAAATCCTGTTCCATCAACACCAGCTTTCTGGCCACCTACAGCAAGAGGAGCAGCCAGTGCAGCAAATAATACAGACATGCTCAAAAGTGCAACAGGTTAATAACATGATTCTATTTCTACAAACACACTCCATGTCAGTGGAAGAGAGATAAACCTGCACTCAAAAGTACTGACAACTTTCATCCAATGGTGGTCATAATATCTGGAACTGTACAATTACTGGGAGGATGTTCATAATTGGAAATAAATTTTATAACTTCATTAAATTTAACTGGATTACTGAACAATGATCAAATTCTGATTAAATTGTTAAGTTACAATTATTTTATAATATTTTGATCAGAAAAGCTGATGGCGAAAACCAATTAAGAAGAGCTAGATGTCAATTCAAGGATAATATTAAAATGGATCTTAAAAAGTAAAATGTGAGAACTACATTAGTTTGGTTCAGAATAGGGGCCATTGGCAGGCCCTCCTGAACATGGAAAAGGGCCTTTTCATTTCCATAAAAGCATCAGCACAAAAAATATTGGCTTCTAAAGGCCTTTGCCCCAGGGAGTGAGCGGTCGCATCACAAATGGAGTGTGCACATTTATTCTCTCTTTACACATTGATAAACTCGTTTTCCATATCAACCTGATGCTACAGAAGATTCCACGGTGCCACCATCTCCAGCAGATGCGTGTTGGCCTAGTTATCACACAAGCATGCAGAACTCTGGAAGTAGTGGTCATACTATTCACTAGGTGTTATATTACTACAAAATACACAATAAAGGCTACTATATTTAGCTCATGGTATACTCTCTGTATGTAATTAGCAACCACCTAATAATTATTACACAATAATAAAAGTACTGAATTTAAGTGCCCCAAATTTGAAAACACTTTTTCAAAACATGTCATCTTTCAGCAAAATTAATTTTCTAAACTTGCATTCTGATACACATAACGAGGAGAATATACCTCAAAGTTACATGTGTACTATCTTTCAGTAGAGAAGATTTTTATGCAGATATCTCACATTTCTTCCACAGGAGTATAAATACTACAAACAAAGCACGAATCTAACGAAGTTTATGTTCAATGTAGTGAAACATGAGCCAAATATTTTGAACAGGTCATGTTATATGAAAAAAAAGCACTTAAGCATAAGACACACAAAAACTGTTACTAGTATCACAATAATTCAGACAAATCCAGAACTACTCTCTGTAAATGAAGCATGCAACACACAGTAAAACAGCTCAGAAAACATACGATTCACCACTCTCAGCACGTTCCTCTGCTCTCTCCAAATCAGCCTCAACCATGGCCAACTTACGTGCAACCTGGAAATGAAACCATGTTTCATATAGCAAGTTACAATTCTCACACACCCAGCTCCCCTGATGGCTGTATGTTATAATTTGACATGCAATTATTACAGATGAAATCAATTTCTATTACAGCTTGAATCCATCGTAAATGTACTGTAACAGCTGGAAAACAATTCATGATAAAATACCAAATACAGAGAAAGAGTAGTGGGAATTCAATCAAAATTAATAAAAAATCACATTATCTATTCAACATCCGACATGTACTGACAAGTTTTTTAATTTAAAATTTAAATCATAAAAAAGTTCAATTTAATATGAAAACTGTCTTTCATTCATGCATATTCATTACTATGTTTAACACAATCAAGTTTCCATATGACATGTAAATTCTAAATTTCATCAACCACAAAAATAACATTCTGCATCATGTGACATCAGCGTATACTCATACTTACTGTTATAAAGCAACAAATACAACTTAAAGAAGAGACACAAAGTAGAATCAAGTTTTACTCACACACCCAAGCAAGGCACATTTCTCCTTAATTTAATAAACTGAAAGTGATAGGATTGGGTCATTACAAAGCAACCAATTGTATGAAGTCAACAATTTCTGTTAACTACCATTTTTACTTAACTGTGACGGCAGTCAGATGTCACCTAATGAACAATGACATCAATATAGCAAAAATTTTCCTTTATTTGAAAATATTACGTTAAGTGGTGTAGTGTCCATCTATAAATCAAGAAAAAAATAATTATCAGTTTTACAGCGGTAATTAGAAAAACACAAGTTCCCACAGGTTGTTTGAATAAGATTTATCAGATGTAGCAAAAAAGGTCCCATGGAAATATAATGTGATGGGAAGAGGAGCGTACACGAATGCAGGACTTCTATTAAATTTAATTTTTATAGACATACAGACAGCAGCTATTATTTGGGAGGGATGTAATGACAAACTAGTAGCTCCAAAACAGGTACAGGACCATGATGTGATTCCTACCACAATCAGCAAATATCCTTCTATCTTAAATATTAGAAAGCTACATGTCATCTAACCTGGAAAGGGATTATCACAATTCCATACACAACCTCAGAGCTATTCTAATGGAACTGTATACAGGCTGAGCCCTGAAATTAAATTTATGATTCAATATAGCATTCCAACTTAGCCTTAATTCTGAAAGAAGTCTTTAAATAACAGCCAATCACTGTCAAGCTGGGGAAAACCTAACACATTTCTGCTAGAAACTGGAGAAACCCCGTAACAGACAATTCCTCTCAAGCTCAGAGATAACCCGATGTGTCAATACCGGGATACAGCAAAAACCAACTTTCCACTATTGCTAGTATTATATATGGAAAACCCCTATCCATTCTGTCAGTGCAAAAATACACAGAAAAATCCACACTATTTTCTGTCCTTGCTACGCTACAAGGAAATGATAATTGGATTTTCAAGTAAAAAGGAAAGTATAGAGAAGAATGGAAGGAAGATGAGATATGAAAGTTAAATACAAAATGACATTACTTTCCTTGTCATCTCATGACAGATCTGCTAATATGAAATATGAAGATGGCTCCAAGCACACGGACTTTTATTAGGCCACCACTGAGCGATTGTTTTTAAACATGTGTCAGATGGAGAAGTTTCTAAAAGACTGGAAACCAGATAACTTGAATTATTATTAAACAACCTTCAACTATGAAGAAAGCAGTCTTCTTGGATTTGGCACCGTGTATATGTGGTGTTAACCGACGATTCGGAGGAACGTATCGCCTCCATCTTCAGGGTAGAAGAAAAAATATAAGAAATCTGCAAGCGAAGAGACAGTGAGAACCAGTAAAAGCAGACTGCTTATCGGTTAACACCACATATACACGGTGCCAAATCCCAGAAGACTGCTTTCTTCATAGTCACCGCCGTGAAAGCCTCAAATCTTACAAACCTTGAACTATTCTTACTCACTCAAAATACTTGTATCTATATCAAAAGGCATTTAAACTCATAATTATCAAATATCCTAATCCGTGACATTCTAAAAGTCCATCATGCATTGTGTGGGCTCCACTTACCATCACTCACATTCATAGGGATTGTAAATATACAGTAAAAATGTGCGCTGCAGACCACAAAATGTGAATTTCCATATTTGCTTTGTCCAAATAAAATTAAAATGACCATCAAATATGGAAAATGATGCAAGGAGCTTCCAATATGCAGAAACACACAATGACCATAAATACTGGACCAAAGATATTCACCATGAAGTTTAATTTGACGACATGGTATACAGAAATGGAAGATATTAAATATATTTCTTGCCGACATCCACAGCTTTCATTACATAGGTTCACAACAAATGTGTTCCTGTATTTCCTTTCCATATCCGTTTAAATTTGTGCCACATTTAAACATGGAAGGGGCTGAGCTTGTTCTTCATAAATACCCTGTTATCAGGGTTTTTACAAAATTGGTCATTTTGCCATCAGTACTTTCTTTCACCAGTCTGCATATTAGAATTTTCTGAATGAAAATTTGTGTCATGTAATTACAAAAGTTTTATCCTAACACTTTTCTTCATTGTTCTTAGCACATTTCATAAAATTAAATGCTGCAGAAAAAACAAAATGTTCGCAAAAAGTTTAGCATTTAACAAGCAATCCATACAGAAGAAATATGACATGAAGACCTTGCACCTATTATTTCTGTAATGGAAAATGTTAGTAATTTAATGGTCACTCAATAAACTCAGAATTCAATCTACAATATACAGTTAATTTAAATAAGTGGAACTCTGGATAGAAGGAACAGGATGACCCATGCAGTACAAAGAATGGAGATAATCTAAGTTTCAGTATGCCAGTTCTTTTAACAGCAGTGAATGGGCAGTGTATAGATGACAGATGGAAGACTGAGAAAACAGAAATGCCACACAAATATGCAAATAAAACATCTCAGGACCTTGCTCTAAGATGGCATTGCATGATACTACATAGCATCACTGATATTATTTAAAGTAAACTGCAGAATAAGTATGGTGGAATTCTGCACAATCCTCAGAAATTTAATCAGCAAAAAGATATATTAATGCCTGAGTTTAGAATTTTTATTGCACATTAAGTTATTACATTATAGTATTAGTACTTCAATAAACAAATTAATATTCTTGTATTACCAAGCAAAAGACAAAACTGTACTGGGCTCAAACATGAACCACACGAGATGAAATTTCAAAACAGTAAGATCTCACTAATTCCAACTGATTGGGAGCAAACCCTTGTCCAAATTATATAAGTACTACTGAAAATAAGTTCAAAGAAGTTATAAAATGGACTTCACACGTCTTTTTCAAGAACACAACTTTATTCCAAAACTAGACTGCCTATCTTAAATTAAACTAATTTGTCATAAGTTTTGAAATCCGTCTTAGAAACATTTTAGGTAGTGGCAATGAGATCATCAAGGTTGTAAAGTGCACAAAAATGGCTGTCCAGATTATTGTGAATTCTTATTTAGTGTGGTTTCACCATAGGAAAACCAGGAAAAAATCTGTCAGGATAGCCAGTCTTCTGGCTAGGTGTAATGCAGGATCTCCTGAACACAAGGCAAGAATGCCAAGCACTCAAATGTGACATCTGGTGAGAAAATTGTTGAAGGGTTTCTTTCAGTGGTAAAACCTATAACATCACAGATCAACCCAATGCAACAG